AGAGGGCAGAGAGGGCTCATCGCTTTATTTTGCTTGGGACCCAGGCTAGGATTCATGCCCTTGCAGAGTCCTCTCAGGCCCAGGGTTTGAAATGAAGAGGTCAAAGAGGAGGTGACAGCTCATCTTTCCATCTCTGCTTATATCCTTCTCACTCTTCATGTGTGAGCACAAAAGCTACCTCCTCTGTGAAGCCTTCTGAATCTCTGCAGACTTCACCTTCCCTGCCTCAGCACTCTGACATCTTGCTTATGTGTTCTATTAGTATTCTACATTACATAACAAATTACCCACAAAGTCGTCAACTTCAAACTATGCACATTTATTACCTCACAGCTTCTGTGGACCAGGAGTCTAGGCATGGCTCAATGGGGTCCTCTGCCCAGGACTTCACAAGGCTGGAATCAAGGGACCATCTGGGCTACATTTTCATCTGAAGGCTTGACTGGGGAAGCATTCACTTCTACTTCATCCAGGTCTTTGGTAGAACTCATTTCCTGTGACTGTAGGACGGAAGCCACAGCTCTCTGCTCGATATTGTCTGGAGGACACTCTCAGGTCCGAGAAGCTGCCCCAAGTTTCTAGGAGCTGCCCACGGTTCCTTGTTACATCGACTCCTCGACATGGCTGCTTATTTTATCAGGTTAGTGAGGAGATCCTCTCTGTAATCTGCTAAAATGGAATCTCATATAATGGAACCTCATCAAGGAAGTGACACCCATCACCTTTGCCATAGTCTGTGGAGTAGAAGCAAGTCACGGGTCTCACTCACACTCAGAAGGAGGGGACTGTACAAAGGCAGGAACAACAGGTGGAAATCATGACAGCTCACTTTATAGTCTATGACAGTCACACTTTTACAATAACATAGACAAAACACTCATTTCTTTCTGGAATTATAAGCAGCTGGTTATTACCAGCCTGTCCTCAGGAATCCAGCAAGCTCTCCAGAGCAAGCTCCTCTGTCTTCCTCATTTTTTTACAACACTCCAGCACCCAGTGGCATGGATCCCACATGGTCATGTGCTGGTTATGCTGTGGGCCCCTCCCTCACTCCTTCTCTACCTTTGTTGGTCTGCTCTGAGCCCCAGAAGGATGAAACCTGTGGACGGGATCACCTGGGCTCCCTGACCCTCTGGCTGCAAGCTAGGTTCATCCTTTGAGAAGCACTGCTAGGAGATTAGAGGATGGAAAGAGACCAAGGCTGGGTATCTGTTCCCCTCCCTCCCTGCTGGGCCACAGTTTGGGTCCTGGTTGTTTTCTTTGACCTTCAGCTACAGCTCCTGCTAGAACTCTCTCCAGGCTCCTATGACAAAGCCTCATCCCTCTACCCCTCAGGCTTAGGGGTAAGAAGGGCTTCCCTCTGTTGCTACCCTCTGGGCATATCATCAGTCCCTTAACCATGCCCACTTATCTGTGAACAGTTCCTTCATTACACCCCCCCTCAATTATCTTTCCGAGAGTAACATTTCACTGGGAGGGGCTCAATAAAACATTATTGAATGAATGATAAGATGATAAGAAAAGATTCAAGAGAGCTAACACAGACTAGAGCTTTTATGTCTGAAACACCAGGTTAAGCTTGATGAACAGGCTCAAGACAGTCCTGTGGGATGGATGCTATTATTTCCATGTGAGACAGGAGGAATTGGGGGCAGAAAAATCACATTCTCGGGTTCACAAAATTTTTAAGTGGTGATGTACCAAAGTTTTTCCATGTTAAATTCTTGCTTTTAGGCTAAGTCGTCAAATCGCTGGGAAAGGGAACTTCCTGGCAGTCCAATGGTTAGGACTCCACACTTTCACTGCCAAAAGCCCAGGGTTCAACCTCTGGTCAGTTCAGTTCAGTCGCTCAGTCCTATCCGACTCTTTGTGACCCCATGGACTGCAGCACGCCAGCCTTTCCCCTGGTCAGGAAACTAAGATTCCCACAAGCCACACAGCTGGGGACGAAAATAAGTCTCTGGGGGAAAGGCTGGATGAATCTCGAGGATATATAAGCCCCTGAGTCTAGCGCCTTCCCTGTGGCCCCTCTGTCCGAGCAATCCCCCAACAGGGAGCTGGCTCCCGCTGGCTGTGGGGCCCATCCCTCATTCCAGCCCAAGGTGCGAATGGAATCCACGGCTACCCAGCCCCAGAGGCCAGCCTCTCCCTCCGCAGGGGCTCTAGCAGTCCTGCTCCCCATCCCTCCCCAGAGACACAGATGCCAAGTCAGGGAGATGGGGCTCCATAGCGAGGCATCCAGGAAGAGATGAATACATGAGAGGAGGAAGAGACGGACCCGTGGGAGGAGTACCGAGGGTCTGAGCGGAAGGCTCATGCTGTGGCCGCGTGAGAGAGGACCGTGGCCTCCCCTGGCTGCTCTGTCTGCAGGACTCCTTCCCAGGACAGATGCCACACCAGAGTGAGGGGACCCACGGGGCTGAATGATACCAAGGAGCGGGAGCATGCCGGGCAGGGGTGTAGAGGCAGAAGCCATGCCCGGAAGGGATGGGAGGGGTGGCAATCCCAGCCCCGACTGACTCGCTCCAACGTGCCCGTGTGCCCACTGGCCACCTCCAAAGAAACACAACAGAGCCCGGAACACAGGTTCTGGGCCTCCAGAGACTGTCCCGCCCAGACCGACCTGGCACCTTGGCTGGCTTCTGTCAAGGTGTCCTGCAAGCGTCGGTGGAGGCTGCTTTACCAAGGTGAACCTCTAGGGGGCGACCTTCTCCAGGAGCGAGGGGGAGGCGTCAGTTGAGCGCGTGCAGATATGGGCCCCGCCCCCACTCCTCGAGGCTGTCGGGTCTGGTGGCGCAGAGATGGTTCTTGTCCATCTTTGCAGCCCAAGGCTCAAGCATGCGCTAGATGTTCACCCAGTGTCTGTGGGATGATTGTTGGGAGGTACAGCTTTGGGTTGTGTGTAGACTGAAAACTTGCATTTATCTCTGCCTCTTTTGAAAAGCACGCTGAAATGGCAATTCATTTCTAAAAGCTGCAGATCCAGAGAGACCAAGAGGAAGAAGACAGCAGATGAGAGGTTCTAATAAAAATTTTGGACGAGAGAAACAGATGGGCGAGTGGTGCCTTACCAGAGTGTGGAAAGCTGAAACCTGAGTGCTAGAGAGCAGGAGACCTGCTAGTTGAAACCTGAGTGCTAGAGAGCTGGACCCTGGTGGTCCGGTAGCTAAGACTCCATGCTCCTAGTGCAGGCTGCTTGGGTTCAATCCTTGGTCAGGGAACTGGATCCCACTGGCCACGACTAAGAGTTCGCATGCTGCCACAGAGATCCCCAGTGCAGCAGCTGAGACCCAGTGCAGCCACATAAATTAAAAATAAATAAAATCTTAAATTCCCACCACAGGACTCTGGAAGCTCAGGAGATAGGCACAGAAGGTGCCGTAGGGGCTGGGGTGCAGGACAGGTGGCAGAAGTAGGGGTACTGGTGGGAAGTTTGTGTCAGGAGCAACTAGTTCCCCAGAGGCCCTCCTCAAGGTAGCAGAACAAACATCTTAAGGTGTCATCTCTCTCCTCCTGGCCCTGGGGAAAGGTTATTCTCAGACTTGAACTGGACAAGCTCTAGCCTTGAGAGATAGCTCGAGAGGAGAGAAGGGCTGCTCTGAAAAACAGGAAGTTATGGCAAAGTCTGCCTATGAAAAGTGAGACCCCTGCCCAGCTCCTTCCCACACTGGCTCCATGAACAATGGCAACCAGGAAGGAGAGACTTGATACAGATGCCAAATGGCCTGCTTCCAGCCAAGGATCACTAGACATTCAAGGAAAGCCTCTAATTTGAAAGACAGCCTACTTCAAATATAATACATAGAAAAACCTGGATCCTTTGCTGTTAGGTGATATTTAGGACACCCTCTCATCCTTTTCCTCTGGCTTGCCATCTTCTTTTCAGAGAAAGGTGTCCAGGGAAATCTGGCCAGTGCATTGGTTGCTTGTCTGGGTCCCCAGCATCCTGTCTCTTCATCCCACACCAGCCCCCTTTTCTCCTGTGCCCTAGAAGTATGCACCACTGAATCCACCATTCTACCTGCAATAAGACGTGATTCCTAGAAATGAAACCAGTTGGAATCACTCAGTTGTCTGCTGGTAAATATTTAACTACTGGCTCTATGGGAAAAAAGAAATCCTGTTTTATAGATGTTTGCTGGTTTCCAGGGTGTAAATACTTCCACTGTGCTGGTTTCAAGCTACCAGCGTGAAGTCACTGATTGTGGAGTCGGGAGCTGCCCACTGCCAGCTCCCACAGGCCAGTTGAAGCTGGCGCCAGCAGGCCATTGGATCCAGCCTTGGGCGGCAGTGACCAGGGACTCACTCTGGCTCGGAGTCAAGCGCACTGTGCTTTTACTCTCCTTCTCCGTGAACCTTGGCCCACGAGCCTAACTAACGTCAGCATCAGCTCTGCTGGACCAGAAGGGAGACTTGAGATGGGAAGTCCATCCCTCACCAAAAAAACTACCAGTCAGAAGAGGCAGTTTTATGTAAAACTAGGAGCTAGAGAGGAGGCTCCCTGGAGATCAGGTTCACTCCCTGCAGGACATCCCCCCTCCCCAGTGCCTGCTCCAACCCCAGATCATGGTCGATTGATGTAGCTCTTTCTTGTTATTGGAGAGGTTGCCAAACTGGGACCACAGACAGGGTGTGGCCAGCATGGGCTTTGCTTGGGACTCAGGCTCTGCAGGGGAGTTGGGGTTACTCTTGGGGTGAGCTGATGAGAATTAGGTCCTTCCAAGTCTTCGGGCACCTCTGGCCATAACCCTGCTTACAACATCCCTGTGGCCTCAGTTTATCCACCCACAGCCACCCATTCAGATGCCAGGGAAAGGAAGAAGAAACTTTAATTGCTGCTGAAAAGCGAGACCTCCCTTTGCCATTGTTGACAGTGGGCAGGGCACAGCCGTCCTAGCCTGGGCACTTTCTGCTCCTCCGGGAGGGAGCAGCCCTTCCCCTTGGGGACCCAGCATCATGGGGGTGAGGGTGCAGGGTGGGGGCTTCTGACTGGCACTGGCCTACGAGCGCCACAAGACCAGGTTGGCAGGAGGCACATCGAAGCGCTTGCGGGTGTGGTCGGTGTCCCGGCGGTATAGGTAGCCACACGTGGGCTTCTGCAAGGTGTAGAAGGGGTTCAGGGAGTTGGAGTACTGGGAGGTGTAGAAATTGAACCTGAGCTTGTCTGGATTCTGCCCTCTGGGGTCCACCACCACCGGCACATAGGCTGCTGCCAGAGTCTGCTCACGGTCCTGCTTCCACGACAAGGACAGGGGACGGTGTGGAGCCTTCACCTTTTGGCCTGATGGCGTCTTCGGCCCATGACTGGGTACTGAGGATTTCTGTGAGTCCTGGGAGGAAGGAAAGAAGGGGAGAGCTGGGGACTTCGCGAGGGCCAAGGGCAGGAGGGAGGGGGCAGGGGCACTGCTGAGAGGCCCACAGAGCTACCCCTGGAGCCCAGCTCTGCTGGCCCTGGAGCTAGACACTTGCAGGCAGGAGAAAGCCTTCAAGCTCCACAACCTGACCTGCTTCTACAAACCTGGGTTTGCTTCTTGGAGATGTCAACCAGCTCAGAGGCTGGGAACCCTGGGGTCATCCCCAACCCCACCCCTGCCCCTTCCCCCTGCGTCTGGTCTGTCCATCAATGTCCCCCACATCCTTCTCTCCCTGGCCTCTGCCACCCGTCCATCAGGCCTCCATCCTCTCTCCTACAAGGTGACTCCAGCTTTCTACCAACTCTTCCTGTTTCTTTATCTCTTGCTTTCCCAGCCTGTGCTTCACACTCTGAATCAGTCTCTATTGGGTTGGCCCCAAAGTCCATAATGTCCTACTGAAAACCCTGAACGAACTTTTGGACCAACCCAATATATTAATGACCAGAATGTGTGGCTTGTCCTCAAAGCATCTTTTGCTGCCCAGAAAATAAAGACCAAGTCCCCAGCCTGGAAGGACAGGGCTCCCCCAAACCCTGAGTTCCAGCTATCCAGTCTGCCTGTCACTTCCTGGTCACACCTGATCCTTTCAGGCAGTTTTACCTTTGCTCAGGCTGTCCCCCAAAACTAGCCTGCCCTCCCTCCCACCCATCAGGGATACTCTTTCCTGTTCAGCCCTGAGCCCCTAAAGAGCAGCTCTCTCTTACCCTTACCCTTGACATAATAGCCTCCAAAATCCTACTCCTTCTCTTACTCCAGACCAAGACATTGAGCAAACGCTCAATAACTATTGGTTCAGTAGAACTGGATTCTAGTAAGGGGTCATTGGCCTTCCAACCAGCCAGCCCCGTTCTAATTTAGAACACTTCTCATTGTTACAGATTGTGTCTCCCACCCAACAATGTCTGCCCTTCATAACCACTCTTGGGTAATTGGGTATGGAGGTCCACCCTCCTAGGAGTTCCCTGTTGCAGCCTTTATCCCATGGTACTGACATTTATTTGGTCCTCTGTTGCTACCCTCCTTGACCATCCTGTGACTGAAACATCTTCCTCACCTTTGAGCCCCCATACCACCTCCCAGATCCTGGGTGCCCTCTCACTAGGAATCTTCATAGCTGTGATGGAACAACCCAATGTCTGAGATCCCTGAGTGTCAGGCAGCTCTGTTGCACTCCCCCAGGCTGCAACTCTCAAGACCACCCATGTCCTATTTGCAGAGGCCCCAGAGAAACCCCAGCTGTAGAGCTATTGGAAGTTGAACCCCTGCCATCTGACAAAAGAAATCCCCAATACTCAAATCATAATGTACGTTCTGTTGTGTTTAATTTATAAACTATTTGCCCAACTCACACTTGCCCAGGGCTTTTCTCCAAAGCAGTCTCTGCTCCCATAGGTTCCCATCTAGCAATATATGACCCTCAGCCTTGCCCTTCAAAATTCTCCCTTATCCTCCCATGCCAGCAGCTCTCATGACACCTCCTCCAGGAAGCCTCTGATGCTGTGGCCTCTGCACCCATCTCACCATCCTCCGTGCCTTTAGGCCCTCCTCCCGGGATGTGGTCCTTTGCTGGGCTGGAATTAGGGTGAGGCAAGGCTATGCATTTTCAGGAGGGGCTCATATTCAGACCCATGAAAGGGCACAGTGAGTGTTTCCTTTCAAATATTTTGTGCCCTAGGTCCTGTGCTTGCCTCATCTTCATCCCAAACAGTGGTCCTTCCAGGCTCTGGCTAAAGTCCCAGCAGCCTGTATACTGCTCTCAGAGGTCAGCACCACACCCTATTCACCTGGGTCCCCGGGGCTCAAGCCAGTGCTGGCACACAGCCAAGCTGGTGAGAGGGGTGCACGAGCAGTCAGCAGCCTCCCCAGACCCGTCCAGGCTCAGCCTTAACGAGGTATGAAGAGTCACAATAAGTGGTCGTTTTCACCACCACCCATGAGCACAGCCCCGAGCTTTTCCAGTGGATTTCCTCTGAGAGTCCTCACATTAACCCTTTAAGGAAGGCATCGTTATGAGCCCCGTTTATAATTGAGAAAACAGAAATCAGAAGGGTATTCCCAAGTTTAGGGTCATGTGACTGGTGAGGAGCTAGGCTGCGATGGGGACCCAGGCCTGGCTGACTCCAGGGGCCACATGCTGTACCCCACGATACATGCCGTGTCCACAGCACTGTGGGGATGGGGCCTGCCAATTCATTTCTGTTCTCATTTCATCATCTTGCTGGCCCCTTGCTAGATGTGCTGGGAGGCAGGTGAGCAGCTAGGGCGACCCCTCCCCAGGCCCCAGGCTCGCTGGTCAGAGAGGGTGGCCAGATGTCCCGGGTGTGGCGGGGACACTGTGGGGTTTTGAATGCTGGGTTTTGGTTCTGGGTCCTTGGACCTGGCACAGACAGGATGACACCCCAGGAGTCTGAGCTTTATTCTATGAATTATCTCTCAGCGCAGCTGAGGATGTGACATCAGTTGTTCTATCCATTCGTGCTCCTCTTACGCACCCGGCTCTGGGTGTACAAGTAGCAGAGACACTACACATATGAACACAAATATGAAGCCCTGGGAATAGTGCTTCTCAGTCTCGGCCCCGTTGACACTTTGGGCTGGATACATCTTTGGTATGGGGCTGTCCTGTGTGTCAACGGATGCTTAGCATCAGCCCTGGCCTCTGCCCACTAGCACCCCCCGCCAATTGTGACAGCCGAGAGCGTCTCTCGGTATTGCCAGCTCCTTCCAAGGGTGGTGAGAATCAGTGCTATAGAGTCCATGACAATTTCCTTTTCCTCAGAATTGAGGCTGATAGCCTGGAGTTGTAGAATTTTCCTTTCCTGGGCCACACAAGTGGCTCGGGTTTTTCGTGTTAAGCCTGAATCCGAGGATGCGGGCTTCTGGTCCTCCTGACACGGCAGGGAGGCTCAGCCTGTGCCTGCGGAGACAGGGAACAGCAGAGGCCCCGCCCCCCACCAGCCCCTGCTCCCCAGCAGCTCTAGGCCTCCTGGGCCTTGCCCCTCAGGCTCTGGAGCTGTTGTGAGAGGTGACAGAGGCAGGTGCTTTGAGAATTGTTGTGGGGGGTTCTTCCTGCAAGGGGAAGGGCTTGCAACACTCTTTCCTAATAGGATCGAGAATCTACCAACTGCCAGGGACTAACCACTGACCTCTGCAAAAGCCCCAAAGAGCCATTGTGAGATGTTATTCCCATCTTTCTGGTTTCCCTGGTGGCTCAGATGATAAAGAATCCACCTGCAATGCAGGAGCCATGGGTTCAATCCCTGGGTTGGAAAGATCCCCTGGAGGAGGGCATGGCAACCCACTCCAGTATTCTTGTCTGGAGAATCCCCATGGACAGAGGAGCCTCCTGTCTTTCTAATGCAGAAACTGAGGCTCCAAGGAAGCCAAGCTTGGTCTAAGTGCACATGGCTAGTGAGTGGCGTGTAAGAACCTTGCAGAAGTTGCACAACTAATGACCAGTTAGTGCAGGAGCCAGGATTTGAATCCTCTTCTGCTCCGTCCCAGCCCAGACCCTGAGTCTCCCGTCAGCTATGCCCCAGCTGCTGCTGCTGCTATACTTGGGACCCTGCTTGGGCGACCCAGGACCCCCAGCACATCCAGGGATGAGGCTCACATAGGAATTGGGGCAGAGGGACTGTCCCGGGAAGGAGCGAGGGAGGAGGAAGAGAGAAAGGAGGCGGCGGATGGGAAGAGGAGGAGGCAGCCCCAGCCTCGTTCCGCCCCTTCCGGGGCCCAGCCAGGTTCCAGGTGACTAAGCTGAGAACACCCCATCCCATGCTCAGCCCAGCACAGCCAGCTCTGGAGGGAGGGTGGGGCCCGACTGCATACTTTCCAGGTTAACATCTGGTTTCATTTAACCATCTCCTCCCCTCTCAGGTCCTCCCTGTCAAATGCACAGTGTGGGCATTTAGAGAAGTGGTTCACACGGAGGGGGTGGGGGGTATTTCCTCTCCCACCCCACCCCCGGGGGACATGTGGCAATGCGGGGAGACATTTTCGGTGGTCACAACTGGGAGGTGCTACTGGTGTCCAGAGGCCAGGGATGCTGCCAAACATCCTACAGGACACCAGCCTCCCCTGCCCCACCCATGGCAAAGAACCATCAGCTCAACAATGCTGAGGTCGAGAAAACGAGTTGAGGTGGAAGGAAGGCCCGCATCTCCCCTATCTGCTTTCTGCTGCCTCAAGCCTCCCACTCCTCCCATTCCACAGGGGGCAATGAAGTTTAAAGGGCAAGGAGAAGGTCCCACCAGCCCTTTTGCTCCTTGCTGAATCGCACTCCCCTGTTTTCACTTGGGTTTTTGGTTAAGAGCCAAAAGAAGGAATCTGACGCCCTCTTTCCATAACCCCCACACCCGCAGGCAGACCCACCCAGGCTTTTTAGATATATCATGCATACATTTGTCCCTTATACCCAGGCCAAGAATGGGGAAGAGGGAGACTTCAGGGTGGCGCTTTCTGAGTAGGGCAAGAAGACTTCATATGTGAGATGAGGTCCAATACTTCAGGCCCCTCTTCCGGCCCCTGCCCATCTGCTGGCCTAGCCTGCACCTGACATGCCACCATTAGCACCTCCCTTTTTCGTGGAAGGCCTTGTGCCCTGTCAAAATGCAAATAGCACTGGGTGAGGCAGCTGGTGAAGCCTCCCAGGGCACCTGATGCTGGAAATGTGCCCGGGCTTTGGAGTTTGAAGGTCTAAGCTCAGGACCTGACTCTGCCCTTACAGGTCAGGCATCCTCAGGCAAGTCACTGAACCTCTTTGAGCTTGACTTGCCTCATCTGCAAAATGGGGCTAATAAGGCTATGTACTGCACAGCTTGTGGTGGGGGTGCCATGAATCGTGGGAGCTATAAAAGAAAGTGGTAATTATCATCAGTCCCATCCAAAAGTTACATGGAGGTGTCACACATGCTCCCCCGAAGCTTTATGAGCACTTATTTGCCTTCAGTGGGGGGATGGGGACTCTGAAGGGAGTCAGTGAGGAGGCCAAGTGGGGGGGCCTCGGCTTCCTCAGGAAGCCTGTACCACCCACTGGATACCTGCTCTTCCGGTAATTTATTTATTTATTTTTGGCCACACCACGCTGCATGCAGAATCTTAGTCCCCCAGCCAGGGATCGAACTCTTGTACCCTGCAGTGGCAGCTCAGAGTCCTAACCACCGGACCACCAGGGGAGTCTCTCCGGTCATTTATAATACACTCTGCCTGTTTTCCCATCTACGAAGGATAACAGAAACTCTATCTCATAGGGTTACTATGAGTTAATGAGATACTCTCCTTAAGGCGCCTGGACATCTTTAGCTCTCAGTAAACGTTGACCAGCATTATTACTTATCACAAGTGTGCCTAGGAGGTGGGGCCATGCAAACTAACGGTCCAGGAAGCCTCTCGGGGAAGTGAAGGGGCAGAGACCAAAGGAGCTGAATGGTGGTCACCTGCCCTCCGCCCACCCCACCCCCAACCTGGGGAGACTAGGACAGCTCCACAGCTGGGGAACAGGAGTCACTGGCACCTAAACCTTTGGTAGAAGCACAGGTGGGCTGGGCAGGGGCCTTCACCCTCCTTTCTGCCAATCAAACTTCTTGCCACTTTGGGCTGCCCTGATCCCACACCATGATGCATCCCACCTGGAACATCCTTGACCAGCGCCTTCCTTGGTGGTGAGATGGAACTTTTGGCGGCCAAGGGCTCCAGAGGTATTCAGGGACTCTTGGGAGGGTCTGGGACACCAAGCTAGGGAGAACATGTATGGGGCTGGGGGCATTGTGACACCGCTTTGACAACATAATTCCTTCTATCTTCCTGAGGAGATACAGGGGCAGGGCTGGGGGCAGAAGTTACAAGGTCTGGATGGTTCTTTGAACCTTAATACCTAGTCACTCTGCAATTCCTTCTTCCCATGGTGCCCAGGACTGGTGAGCTATGGGTAGTGGGGTGAGAGGAGAGTGGGGGAAATCATTCTATTTATTCAGGTATCTTGGGGAGTCCTAATGTCCCCCCAGCTCCCCAAAGGGTCACAAGAAATCACTGGCATGGAAGAAATGTAGCCGGCTAACTCTCTATTCACTTTCTTCCTTTCTGTCTGCCTTCTCAAGTATAGGAATGAAGGATGATGGATGGATGGATGGATGGGCAGATGGATGGATGGACACATCAACTCATGGATGGACACATGAATGGACAGAGCAGTAGGAGAGCAGCGTGGGAGGTGGATGGATGTGAGTAGGTCGATAGATGGTGGATGAGCAGACCCTCCTGATTTGAGCCCTGGTCACCTTCTTAGTCTCATCTCTTGCTATCTTTTCCCTCACTCTGTGTAGCAGCTACTTTCTTAACATGCCCTGCTCTCTCCCTTCTAAGTCTTTGAATTTGCTGTTCCCTTTCCTAAACCTCTTCAAACAAGGGGTTAGAAGATGAAGGGATGGATGGATGAGTGAGTAGACAGGTGGTTAGGTGGGGTGGCCACGGGTGAGTGGATGGGAAGATGGTCCATGCAGATAGATGGTGGGTTGTTGTATAGAGGATGGGACTTCAGGCTCAAAGCCAAACTTTATGAGCTTGAATCCTGGCTCTACCATTTTACTAGTTGTGTGACCTTGGGCGAGTATAAATAACTGACCTGTCTGTACTTCTGTTTACTCATCTGTAAAATGGTTGGACTAAAGGTCCCTAACTACTAATAATAGAGTAGGGCAACGCACTTAGGACAGTGCCTGGCACAGAGGAAGCACTCAATAAATATTAGCTATTATTGGACTTTCCTGGTCTAGTGGTTAAAACTCTGTGCTTCCAATGCAGGGGGCATGAGTTTGATCCCTGGTTCGGGATCTTAGATCCACATTACACACGATGTGACCAAAAAAAAAACAAACACAAAAAGAAAACTGGCTATTATTATGTGTGGGTGGGTAACTGTATTGAGGGGTAGGTGGCTGAATGGGCTGCCCTCTTGCCATCTTCAAAACCAGATGTCTCCCCACAACACACCTCCTTCGGGCCCGATCTCCCCAACGTCAGACTTCCAGGAACATATCAGAAATGCCCCATGTCGGACTGCCCTGTGCTTCTCCCTGGGTCAGTGAGGGAGGAAAGGAGGAGGCCCAGGGTGAGGGAGGAAGAACAGCTGGTGACTTCCTGCCCTCCGCCCACTGGCCAGGGCTGGGCGCAGGACTGTTTCCTTCCTGGCACCGTCAGCACTGCCTGTTGAGTGTGGTGGAGACTTTGGGGCCCCCAGGCGGACTGGGAGTTGGGGTGTTAATGACTTGTATGCTGTGCTCAGATCTCACACCCTAGTGGTAATGACCCCTAATTTCTGGAGAAGATGGGAGCGACCAGGAGGGGAGGCAGGCAGGGAGGAGCGGGGAAGAAGGGCAGCCCTGGTGGAGCCTCTGATCTGGGATCTCCAAGGCTCTGGGCAGATGGTATCTTGCTTGGGAGAGGGTGGGGAGGAGGGCCTGAGTTACACAGTTATTATCATTTCTAAGCCCCAGACAGCACTGAATCAGTCCTGCCTCCTGGAAGCCCACCCTTTCTGACTTCTCTGCCACACCCCCAGCATGAGTTCATTTTATTCCTCATCATAATTCCTGGAAGGTAAGGAGGGTGCTCTGTACCCCACGGCACCCAGTGGGTGTTTGGGAAGGATGGGGAGAGCTGGTGACACGCCGGGCTGACTTGTGGAGATCCCTACCCCTTGCCACACACACCTGTCCTCTGTCCCTCTGTCCCTCCTGCCCTCTTTGCTGTTAACAGTGCAGACATGTGGCTTTCAGGGTCCTGCTACCGTCTTGCTTCAAGTAGCCTACTTATTCGAACATCCTCTTTCTACTCCTCCGTGTCTGCTGTGTGATTTGGACAAATTACTTAACCTCTCTGATCCTTACTTGAGTTTCCTTTGCTGGACTTCAAGTACAAACGACTGAGCTATTCCTACAGCTCACATCAGGGTGCCTTATCACCATTGGTCCATGAAGGCTTCCTCTCTTGTTATATTAATTTTCCCTCTTTATCTCCAATCTCCAACCACACTCTCCACCCACGCCCACAAGAGGCAGCTATTCTAATGTTCTTAATAAGTATCTTCTTGTTCAAATGTGTTTTCAAAATACATATTGTTTTGTGTGCAGTTAGTGTTCATTTACATAAGTGGTTTTGTGTGTTCCAGATCTCATTCTGTTGTTTACTTTGATCGCTACCTTCTGTTTTTAAGATCCATCCATGTTGCTGCTTGAGCCTCATTCCTTGCTTCCAAAAGGCTCTGTATGTTTTTCCTCCCAGGTATCTCCAACTCCCCATCTCCACAAACAGCACTGCAATGACATTACATCCACAGGCCCTTATGGACCAGGGTGAAGGTTTCTTTGGGGCCTACTCCTAAGAGAGAATCGACTGGTCACAGGTATGAGAAGGTGTCATTTGGGGCTTCCCTGAAGACTCACTGGTAAAGAATCTGCCTGCCAATGCAGGAGACTCGGGTTCGACCCTTGGGTCAGGGAAGATCCCCTGGAGGAGGAAATGGCAACCCATTTCAATATTCTTGTCTGGAGAATACCATGGACAGAGGAGCCTGGCGAGCCAGAGCCCATGGGGTCATAAAAGAGTTGGACATGACTTAGCGACTAAACAACAATAGATGTCATTTGAAGTCTTTTTCCCTCCATCCACAACATGGATGTATTGTCCTCTTCCTTTGTAGAGCTGACTTGCTGGTAGTAGGTTAGGACTTCCCTGGTGGTCCAGTGGTTAGGAAGACTCCACACTTCCACTGCAGGGGGCGCGGGTTTGATCCCTGGTCAGGAAACAACTCCCATGTGCCATGTGGTGTGGCCAAAAAATAAATGAAAAAAAAAAAAACACTTTTAGAAGATGGTATTGGGTTAATGCACATAGTCCACTCGGCCCTGTGCCTCACACAGCAAAGATGCTCAGTGAATGGTAGATGCAGCTGCTATTACTTTCAGGTCTCAGGAAGAGAGGGAGAGACAAGATGGACCCACGAGAGGGTGCATGGAAACACACTCAGGGCTCAAAGTCCCCATTCAAGTGTTGGTCTTCAGAACACGTGAAAAGTGTGCAGGGCTGTGCTGATTCCTAGAGGGTAGGGACCGATCCTGAAGGCTAGAACCAGAGCACAGAGCTGATGCGGAGGAGACGGCCATGCCCTGGGGAAATACTCCCTGCATTCAGTGCCCACCTCTCTTTCCCCGGGGCGCCCCCTGCACAGGAGGCACCAGAGATCCTCGTCTGCTGTTCTGCCTCCGCTCTGCCAGCTAACGAACACATTACTCAGATGGGAAACCACACCTGAGTGTTGGAGCGCACCATGTGACTTCACAGGGTCTCCCAGGTGACTGAGCGGTAAAGAATCTGCCTGCCAATACAGGGGCCACCAGAGAAGCAGTTTCCATCCCTGGGTCAAGAAGATCCCCTGGAGAAGGGCATGGCAACCCACTGCAGTATTTTTATCGGGATAATCCCGTGGACAGAGCAGACTGGCGGGCTATAGTCCATGGGGTCGCAGAGTCGGACATGAGCAGGAGCATCCCACTTTACAGATGGAGAGACTGAGGCTCAGGAAGCCTGCATGGTCTCACAGGAGGTTAGTGGCACTGAAATCCACATCTCCATGCTGGCCCCCATCCAGTGTCCCTTTTTTAAAAAAAGGAAAAATACATTCCATGCTAAATTATGTTCTTTGGGACATCTCTGGTGGTCCAGTGGTTTAAAAAAATCTGCCTTCCAAAGCAGATTCGATCCCTGGTCGGGGAACTAAGATCCCACGTGCTGTGGGGCATGTAAACTCATGTACCACAACTAGAGCACCTGTGAGCCACAGCTAGAGAAAGCTCTCTTACCTAACAACCCTTACGGCCAATATTAAAAAATAAATAATATTCTTTATTATTTGTAGAATTTTAAGTTAAGACAAATGATCTACCAACAGAGCACATTACTGAAAAGTAAAAGCCCCACCTGTCATCCTAGCATTTCCCGCCTGCTCCCCGCCTCCGCTACCCCCACACTCCCAGTCAGCTCCCCGGTCTTGGTCCCTGTGAACCCCTGGCTGTCCATTCACAAATACACCTTATCTACCTAGAGTCACAATATACATGAGATTTGGGTTTTTGTTTTTGTACTAAACAATCTTTTTTTAATATACACACATGATTTCAGATGGTGGGATGTGTTTTACAATGGAATATTTTTGCCAGGCTTTTGAGCCTAACCTTGTAAACACCTACCCCACCCCATCTCCTGGGCCCCCGTGGAATTTTCCTTCTTGAGGAAATGAATTTTCCTTCTTTGTTGAATGGGTACTGCTTTTGTGCAGCCTCTCAGGGCCTCCGTTCTGTCTGTTGTTCTGTTCAGCACATCCATGCCCAAAGTCAAGGCAGGGAACTGGGGTGAGGGCACAGAGGTACTAAGTACCCACCATGAGTCAGACTCTCTGCTGGGTATTTTATCTATCTCACTGAATCTCATAACCACCTACATTAATAGCCCTTGTTTTACAGATGAACAAACTGAGGCTCAGAGCGGTGGTATCTCAGCCAAGGTCACACCCTTGCTAAACAACAGAGTCAGGATTCAAACCTATTCCCTAGCAAGGATCTTTCCCATTCTGCCACGGTACCACCCACAGAGCCCCCGGTTACGAAGGGAAATGCGTCCCTCCCCAGCACCCTCAAACATACCACTCCCCACTCAGGGCTGGGTCTTGGATCCTCCTACTCTCAGGCACCAGTAATGACCTTGACCGCCTTCTCAGGACGTAGGAGTCCACGTT